TATATCTTCTGTGGCTCTAGCTGTTCCAGGCTGTTTGCTTGTCCTTTCTAGTGGGAATGTCCTACGTCAGAAGGTTCTGGATGGGGTGAAGTCTGTGGTCTTTTATCTTCATCAGTAAGTATCATAAGTTCTCTTCACTCACAGCAAGCAAGGGTGTATCATCTGTATATCTCAGGCTGTTTGTATGTAGTCCTCAAATCCTGGCAATACTTCTTTCTTCATATAATATAGTTTCTCAGATTATTTGTTTTTCAAACAGATTGAATAAGTATGGTGAAAGGTTACAATTTTGGTGCACATCTTTTTTTTTATTGTAGACCATTTACTTTCTCATTGTTGCAATCAAATGACTGACTGTTGGTCTATATAATGTTCCTTTTGAGCACTATTAAGTGTTATGGACTATTCATTCTTTGCAATGTAACCCACAGTTGTCATGATACACATACTTGAAAGCCTATGATGAGTGAGTGCCTCCAGTGCTGCATTAGTTCATTGAAAGTTTTCAATTTTCATTCCATTAATTCCTGGAGACTTATTCTTTGCCAGTGTCTTCAATGCACCATTGGCTCATGATCATATGTAGTCTCTTGAAAAAGTTGAACTGCATCAGTCAATATTTTGCCTATAGAATCTTTTAATATTTCAAGTCAAGACTTGAGGAGTTTTTTCTTCAGTTTTTTCAGCTTGAGAATTGCTGAGTGTGTTCTTCACTCTGTTTTCTACCTTAAGATCTTTGCACATTACATTATAATACCTGTCTTTGTCTTCTTGATCTGCCCTTTGAATTTTTTCTGTTTGCCTCTTTTACCTTCTCATTTTCATCCTTTGCTTTAGCATCTCTATGATGTAGAATGAATTTCAGAGTCTTTTCTGACATTCATTTTGGTCTTTTCCTTCTTTCTTGTCTTCATAATGACCTTTTGCTTTCTTCTTGTAGGATGCTTTTGATATCTTCTCACATTTCTTCTGTTCTTCGGTAATTAGTGTCTGATGTATCAAATATGATCTAGAGATGATCTCTAAATTCAGGTGGATTATGTTCAATGTCATATTTTGTCCCTCTTGGACTTGCTTTAATTTTTTTCAGCTTCATCCTGAACTGTATATGAGTCATTGATGGTCTGTTTATCATCTTTATCTATATTTTCCTTATCTGTATCATTTCTCATAATGCTGGGAACTAATTTCATTATATATGTTGCACATATTTTCTCTTAGTCTTACTTTTTTTTTAATGTCTTCACAGGATATCTTCTACTGTCAGAATACTTTGTATTTGTCTGTAAAACCATATTCATGAATCTTTTATTTTACAACTATTGTTATTTTTTAGTGTTTTTTCTTATTTAAAAAGATCTTCCCAACCAAGATTTTTAGTATAATGTCATGTTTTCCACTGATGTTATGTTCATTTTATTCAGGTCAAACTGACAAATACCTCTTTTTAAATTACCTATAATCCCCATTCTTGTTCTCATCATTGTATATTCATTCTCTGATCACCTCATCACTCAAGTAGTACTCAACTGTAGTTTTTATGAACAACTGCTATCTCATTCTTTAACGTTAAAAGTAATGTTATTTCCTTCCTCTGAACCTCATGTAGTATGCTTAAAATGATGGAGAAAATATTATGCTTGTTGAAATATATTGCTTTTCTATATAGTTTTTGAGACGAAGGTCTACGAATTTTAATATCTCTAATGAGTTTTATCCAGTGTCTCAAAGTATAGATTTGTCATGTATGTTTATATGTATGTATGTTTTATATGTATGCATTTGTATGTAGGTTTACTTAGGACAAATGAATATTTAGTTGGTATGCACAATAATTATTTGTAAATACTTGAACACTTCTCCTTTATTATAGGTATTAAACTGTTTCTATTTAATTTATGGATGTTTATTAAGGGCAATCATATATTTCTTAACACTGGTAGTCACTGGGTTGCAACTGTCTGGCTTATGGACAACTCATACTTATCCTGTAATATTTTGCAAATTTTCCTTTATTTTGCCCTTACTTTGAAACAATTGCACAAACCCCTACTCTTACTCACAAAATTTTTTTGACCACACTTACCTTCACGTACTGCATGTGCAACTTTTAAATCATTGAAAATATTTTGATCTTTTTCGTGCAGTAAAGCAAGGTCAAATAAGAACCATCTGTTCATGCTTTGACTTATCTACACATTTGACTTAGAAACACAATTAGAAATGGATGCTGTTTGCAAACATGGAACTGCTCTTCTTTGAAAGAAGAAAGAAAGAAACAGAGAGAGAGAGAGAGAAATGAGTGAAAGGAATTTTCAACAAAATACTCTGAAAGTTCAGTGATTTTACACTGAAGCAACTTTGTTGTCCCCAGACATGGTCAAGAAGAAGCACTGCATTGATGCTCCTTCTGTACGACTTTCATGTAGCCATTAGAACTACTGAATAAATCAGTGCAATGCTATCCATATTGCTATATTCCATGAGTATAGCCATTTTAGACACTGTTGATACGGTGGCTAAATCTCAACTTCTAGTTACACCTATATCTAGTGGTCATTTCACTTTACTCTAAAGATCATTTTTTTTTTTTTTTTTTTTTTAATTTACAAGAATAGTTACAGTCAACATTATTTTCACCACTCAGACTGTTTTTATTTCTTGGATGAGACCTTTATGAAAGTTAACTTACTTTCTTGGGTTTCATTATTAAATGATTTTCAAACACATATCTTATTTGCAAAATCAATCATCATACATACTATCTATGAAAAAACACACATATTTAATAATTTATGTTCTTTTTATTAAATTGATTTTTTATAAATAATTACCCCCAAATATCCCTATATAAATTTCAGTCACAAATAGTCAAACATTCCATTTTATGTGTTAAAAGAACAAAACAAGTAAAATATATAACTGTATATTCAATCATCTTATTTTAAATTTAAACATAAACTAAATGGCAAGAAGCAAGCCTTTTGAAAATTCCATGAAGATTGCCCATGATCTAGATAAACTTTTAGTAAATGTGAAATAACACCTAATGAACACCATGAAAACCAGATAAGAATGTGTTTATTAACTATGAACTGGAGGTTTTCAGAAAGCAATAGTTCAGCTGGGAAAGATTGTAGACGACCCTGAACATTACATATATCTAACAACAGAGTCCATAAAAGCATTTTGTAATTCTTTCTACAAATAAGTGTCATGGATATTTTGGAGGTGTTTTCCTAAATGCTAGCATCAGTCAATCATATGTTTTGTGGTTTCTTTGGAAGAGAAGATTTGCTGAAGGTGTTCTGTTAGAGCTAGTCAGCCATTGATGATTCATGTCCTTATAATCCGTCAGTAGGGAAAGGATGGAGTAGTTCAACTGAGTACGTTTTAAGTAATGATATTTCTTAGTTCATTTTTGTTGTTCTTGTGTGTTGTCGAGTTAGTTCCAACTCATAGTGACTCTGTATAGCGTCGCCAAAGACCAGCTGGTGGATTTGAACCACTGACTTTGTGGTTAGCTGTCCAGTGCATATCCTACAGCTCCATACATTAGCAAGATGTCATTTAAACAATCCACAAAGGTAATGTAGGAAGCAAAGTCATCTGAAAAAAAACATGCTGGGACCAACAGTCAAACCAAAAAGGGTCCACTTCTTCAAGGAGAGGAAGGTTATAATTACATAGGCAGATCAGACAATGACTGCTATGCAAGATAGCTGGTGATGGTTGTATTTGATACAGAATCTCTTCAATGCATCAATCTTGGCTAGTCTCAGATATAGAATACTATCTTCAACATCAGTCTTCAACAAATGGGATCAATAGAGCAACAGAAACAAACAAACAAAAAACTAGCAGGACTAAACATTTGCAGTGAACAAGCCCTGAAGTTGTGTTTGAAGTTAATCTAACAGTATTCTTAAGGCATATAAAGGAATTCAGCAGAAAATCAAAGAAGGTAAATAGTACAATATGCCTCGATGGGTAATTTTCAGCTGCTGGAAATGCTAGTTAATTAATAGCAACTCCAAGATCTAGTACTACTGCACAAATACCTCAGAGGTGGAAAGGTACTGGGTATACAGCTTAGAGACCTGTAGTTTCTAGGTAAGTAGCTCAGTGATCGGAAGCTTATAGGACTGGAACTCAGATATTGGCAATTTCTTGTTAAATAACTTTGTGGTTGGCAGTTTCTAGCAATATAACATGATGGTGAGAAGCCAAGATTTTTGAAGCTTCGATACCCAAAGCTTCCTAGGCGGCAGTAGCTTATGGGTCGGTGACTTTTGGATAAGCAGTTAAGTTGTGCAAAGCAATTAGAGTCATTGCAATAGTTATGATAGATTTTAGATGCATATCTGGTTGGTGTGTAGCAATTGGATACATACCCCTTCGTTTGAGGGCATGGGCAGCAGCTGGGGCTGGATTTGATGTTAGTAGTTTCACAGGAACTACGTATATTACTCAATGATGGGGAGTTGCAAGGCACACAGACGTTTGAAGGTTCGCAACTTGTAGTGCAGGTCTTGAGTTCACAGCTTGGAGATTCATAGGTGAGGGCTTCACTGTAGGACTCTTGGCAGTTATCCAGGAGCCAGAGATTTCCTTGGTAGCGACTGGGTAAGCATATTCCAAAGTCAGGATTTACATCACTGGAGCAGAGAGCAACAGAAGAAGTCACAGGGATGTAACAGTGAGTTCTGCAGGGCGTGACACTGCAAACCCCAGAATAACTCAGAACAGACATGGAGTATGAGTGAATACTCAATGGTGGCCTTGAAGGTACAGGACTGGGGACTTTATATACCTTCACTGGTGAGTGTCAGCAGCCTCTCCAGACTCTCTTCCTTCTCATTTTCCAGGATAATAATAAAGCAACATCTCATTAGTGTGTTGTTTAGCTACAGTTGCTGATGTCTTCACACTCATAAAAATCAGTTTATTTTGATTCTTCAAAGTATCTATAATTGCCACTTGGACCAGCACCCACCATTTATCAACTGTAGACCATAACTTCAGTGAATAGTTATTTTAAATGTTAGCAGACAAACTGTCATCTGTCAATCAGTGGTTAACAAGAATTTATGTGTCTATGGGCTTCTACAGCATGATTATTAAAAGATTAACAAGGACTCAAGTGAGGCATGTAGCCTATAGTTTTCTACTATTTAAAGCAAAACATACTAGTTGCCATAGAGTTGATTCCAGTTCAAGACAAATACATGTGCACAAAGGAGAATGATTCCATAAAGGTTTCAAGATAGTGACATTTTCAAAACAGATCATCAGGGCTTTC